CCGGCACATTTAAAAGCCATGAACAATATAACAACCAAGCTTGTTTGGCAAGTATACAAAACATCTCAGCAAATGCAAATCATCAATCATAAGATAACAAAATATTGAAACATATAAAAAAAACCGAGTCTTCCGTACTATCTTACTATCTTGAAATGGAATGAAGTTAAGTTGTAGGATTCTTAAAGGAAGCAATGCTTTCGATGTGTTGAGGTGAGATACGTACATGACATTCATTCTTGTCTATGAATCCACAGGAGCGCCTAAACTCTTGATTGTCTCCAATTCCTTGGAGCCTAACTATTCTGGTGTTTCTTGTTTCAACATTGTAGTAAAAGATGTAAAAAGGTCGAACATCGCGTGACAATATCGTAGGGGCCATAATGATCTCACCGGCCTTGTTGGTGCCTGGAAAAGACATTCTGAAACCACCAACAGAATCCCACACGGAAAGAGGAATCTCACATGTTTTCTTTGACCATTCATGTTTCTCGACGTCTTCTAGTATCCATAAATCAAAACGTTGAAAACGATTATAAGGGTCTGCCACAATGGAAGCTAGCTTCCCTTTGTATTCAATAAATGTTGCTTCACTGCCATTAATACCATAATCCAGGATAACCGGAGGTGCTTTGATGTAAGTTAGCTTATCGGATCTAACATGAAAACACACAATACCTGGATTCATACGTGGTTGTGGGCTATATGCACCATAGTAGACAAAACCGTCGATGCTTACTGCCACTAGTAAGGGAGTATAAGAAGGCATGATGGTAGAGGGAGGTTTCAATATGTCTCCAACCTCTATCTTGTCCAATTGTTAACACCTTGTGCACTAGAGGAGTACCAACTGGTCCAAATGGAATACTCAAGGACACGGATAATGCTTTGTGTTGATCATCAATGGGATCGTATCCCACATAATGATATAGAACGGGATCGGGAAACTTAACGAATTGCTCAGTGGAAGGGTTACATATGATTAACCCACCTAAAGCTTTGACAGCGAGAAAGCCATGGAGAGAAGGACAAGACGCTGCGAGGCTACGAAAGCCCACGCAAGGTAATGCCATGTCGAAATTTGGTACCAAAGAAGAAGACTCGCCTTCTTCGTACGAGAAGAGGAAGACAAGGCGCTCCTCATTCGATTTGAAGATTCCGTTACTCAAAGCAACTACAAAACGTGGTCTTGTTGAGGAGATAGAGAAGAAGGAACGGACGAACTTAGGACTTCGGATGATGGAAGACCACATCTTGGACACGCATCGGAACTTGGTAAGAGACTTGGCAGCCAATCTAATCAGTATCTCCAGCTTTAGGGGTCAAGTGGGAGAGAATCTAACATACTTTGGCTTGTGTCTTTCTCATCTAACATACTTTGGTTTGTGTCTTTCGAACCTAACTCCCTTTGGCATGTGTCCTTGTTAAGAACAAGGAGTTTCTTTTGCAATCTGGTCATCACTGGATCAACAGGGATCGAATCTAGCTTACTTCCGCTGCTGCAGATGAACCTGTCCTGCTTCTCACAGATAATCGCAGAGACCTAGATTTCCCACTCACATTTACCCGACGAAGGAAGGAAACAAAAAAAAAGAGGAAAATATCAGCGAATTTTCTGTTTGTTTTTTTTTCTTAAGTCAACTAATTTTTTTTTTCTAAGCCTATTTTAACATCCCTAGCATGGATTTAGCTGGTAA